ACAACATAATTCTAAATGGGCTTTGCAAAAATAATTGTGTTGATGAAGCATTTGAAATGTTTCAGAGCCTGTTTTCTAAGGATCGTCGACCTGACATCATTACTTTCAATATTATGATCGGTTCTTTGCTCAAAGGTGGCAGTAAGAAAGATGCCAGGGATCTGTTCGCTGCTATCCCTGCCCATGGTTTAGTTCCAGATTTGGTGACCTATGGCTTAATGATGGAAAATCTCATAAAAGAACGGTTGCTAGATGAGTTTGAGAATCTATTTTTAGCAATGGAAAAGAGTGGATGCCTTCCAAACTCAGGCATGCTAAATGCTATAGTTAGGAGGCTGTTGGGTGGAGGTGAGATAGTGAGGGCTGGGGCTTACCTCTCCAAAATTGATGAGATGAACTTCTCACTTGAGGCTTCCACTACTTCCTTGCTAATATCACTTTTCTCGAGGGAGGAATATAAGAACCATGCAAAGTCCCTACCTAAAAAGTACCATTTTTTTGAGGAGGTCAACTAATGAGGATTATGTCCAACAAAATAAATCCTCAGCTGAGTGGTAATGTCTACCTCATTCTCTAATTTGCTGGCCATGTTGTGTTGTCACATTTATTTGATGAAATTCTCTAGGGAGTGTTGTACTGTTAGTGCGTGTCAGCATCCTGTTTATCTCCTATAAAAGTTATCTTTTCTTCAGTCCTAGTTATCTGTATGGTGGGGATCAATTTTCAAACTATTGGGAGCACATAAGTTTATTCCTTTTGTTTGCTTAGTTTGTAAGATATTCTTCATAGCCAGGAATAAAGTCAATCATCTTGACTTCTTGATGGATTTTTATACAGTAAGCTTCGTGTTTTCCCCCCACTGTTAGAAGTATCCCCCCTCCCCCCTGAGTATGTATTGTTAGCAGTGCCTTTTTTTCACACTAATATCTGCTGTTAGCAGTGTGTGTTGTTCCTGTTTGTAGTTCCATGGATCAGGTAAATCCAATATATACTAGTGTTTTCTGATGCTTTTGTGGTCTATTTCCCATGACTTGTTTTCTTTGTTCGCTACAATCTCCTGTTCCTATGCCTTCACTTTTTATTAGAGGGAGCCCATGCTGAACTACCTCAAATTCTGCTTAACTTTTGTGTTAGACCATCATCCTTTGGCTTGCTCTTTCCTGACATCCATGTCATTGATTCCTTGCAGCTCCATGTCTATAAAGAGAGTCGAGCATTGGAAGTCCCATCATGACCTTCGTATATGGTGCCAATACTTCTAACCATCCTGCTTATCTGAACTGGAGCAGTTTGGTTTCATGATGGCATCTGGAGGCTGGAGTAGGGGTTATAGGCTTTTAGCAAAGACCTGAGTGTTTGACATTACTTTTGTGCATGACCTTCAAATACAAGCATACCAAGCCATCTTCAAACTCTCAGATCATTGCTTAATAGAACTCCAGGTTCACTGCATCATATTCGAGAAGCTGCTGTCGCTATTGTTGAAGTATGAACTATGGCTCCAAGGTTGAAAATCGCAACATTGTTATTATCTAACAACAATATTCATGCAGGCAACCAGATGGTTTTTCTGCTCCTGAATCTGATAGAGGCCATCGGGATCGTACTCACCCTTCAAGCCTTTTCTTGCGGTTCCCAGCAGTACAAACAATGAAAGGATGCATAGGCTTGGGTGGATCACAGAGGGAGAGATCAACCTGCTTGGTGGATCACAGAGGAAGGCTAGGGTGAACGTTAACTGATAAGGCTTGACGTGGTGATCCTACTTGGCTTGTTCTTGCACGTTTGCAGCTAGGCTCTGATTATGTTAGTTTGTCACGTTTTCATGCATTTCCATTGCGTGACGCAAATTGATTGATTACTCCTGGCTGAACTAACGAGCAATTGTCTGGTCACTTGGTATTAGTCAATCTTCATTGTGCCTTTCAGGAAGAGTCTACCAGCACTACAAATGAGTGGATTCTGATGGTTGCTCTTGACCATGACAATGCCTCTGGTGTGATCAAGTCCCATGACTGTTTGTCGTTATTTACTAGAAAAGGTGGTAGATTCATCCGTTGTGAAGATCATTGAGCTGGATGACTAGACACTTGTCTACTATGTGCATATTTTGCCCATTTCTACTGGGCAGAAACTTGTTGGCTATGAAACCCTATAACATTGCAAACTAAGCAGTTTTTCCTATGATCGCATCATAAGATTTCTTTGCAATTTAGAACTCGTGTGTTTGTACTGATACTAAAACCAGTGCTTACAATGTGAACTGGAATTTTCCTTTCCACTAGGTTGGTGCTGAACTACGTTTTGTGTGTCCACTTGCCATGTCCAGAGTCCTGACCATCAGATGGAATGGCTTGCTTGGATAACCTATTTTTTTTAACGCAAGCTTGCTTGGATAACTCACCAAGATACATAATTTAAGGGAAAAATTTTCTTCCTCTCTTCCATGTTGCATGAGATTCACTTTTTCATCTATTTAGACAATTATGGTTCTTAACATCTGGCTTTACTTTAGCAAATGTCTGTTTCTATCTTCATTTGTAGAGACAGATTATTTTACATGTCAATTTAATTGGACTATTAGCTTCAATCCATATTTGCTTAGAACTGAACTTTCTGTTCTGTATGCAACTTTTCTTATTTGCTCTGGTGCCACTGTGCTCAGGGGCAGAACTCGGAATGGGACAAGGAGGGTGCTTAATAATGAAATATTATTGTCTTGCTCTCTTAATAATGAAATATTATGTGTAAACCATACTTTTTTGGCATGTTAATGTTGGTTATACACTTTAATCAAGGTACTGCACATATAGGGCTAAAAAAGGGTAACATGGGCAACGCATGGGGTGGGTTGGAGGTGTGGGGGTTTTCCAGTCCTGGTAGTACCTGCCTTGTATCCTGTCCTTGGTTGTGCTGCTGACATTCTCTGTTTCGTTTGCATGCTTAATGATTTAATTTTTACCCAATTTTTTTTTGTAAAGCCTCTTATCTCTAATTAAGATGGATTCATGTTCTTTTGTTTAACTTTGTTTTTCATTTCTTTGCGAACTGTTGGAAGAAAATGCCTTATTCTTGTTTGCCTAATGCTCCATAGAAGGGACAACAAATTATTTTTTTTCTATAGTTCTTTTTCAGTTATGTGATCACTTGAAATAATTTTGGGCTTTATATTTTTGCTTCAGGAACATTTTGGTAATTCTGCATCTTTATCTGTTGGACCACCTGGCCTGCCGTTTAATGGTAAATGAGACTTAGATGAACGACAGTTTGGACTGAGCAGAGTTCATAGTGGTGGCGCTATGGCAAACTACTCTGCATTTGACATGGGTTCTCTTTGGATAGGTATGGATTCAGACACTGCTATCACAGAAATATCCAGAATTGCTTCATGTCAAACATAGAAACGATGAATGCTTATGGCAATAGGGATCTTAATGCTTCCTAAATGTCTGATTCTGATCTTTCAGATGCTTTATCTGGGTTGAGGCTGTAATAGTCCAGTAATGGATCAAAGGAATCATGGGGAAGAGCTACCAGATGAACTACTAAAGCTCTTCTTCGTTCCATTCAGTATGTTTTGTGCTCCAGTTCCCACCTAATTCTGCTCTGTTTTCGGGCTGAAGAAAGCTGCAGCTTCCTCGTCATCGTCTAAATCCGCGGCTGCCTCTGGTCCGCTAAGGTGAGGAGAAATCACTGACCCTATTCTTTTTTTTCTTAATTAATCCTCACGTCACGCATCCGAACTAGTTGTGCTTCCTCATAAAGTTACGCCTAGTGGAATTGCGTTTTCTGCTTAAAAAAATTGTTTCTAATTTGTTCCTTTTTTCCAATTTGTTAGTTACCCCTTTAGTGCTTCGTTTCAGGTCTGGCAACCGGGTGTCGATGCAGTGGAAGATGGAGAGGAGCTCCAATTTGATCGTGAGGCTTACAATTATATCCGAGGGTTCGGCATTGGCTGGTCTTGCTTGAGGTAAAATTTGTCTCATGCAATTCATTACCTCTGTATCCTAACTTCAGGCCAATACATTGTCCATTCTCAATGAATAACCTTTCTGTCACAGTTTTGATGTTGTGCGCGATCAACTTGGACTTGTCCGATCAGAGTTCCCACACACATTCTATGGTGTTGCAGGAACGCAGGTAGTTGCAATACTCTTCACACCTTAAAAAACAGGATTATTAATTTTAGTTTCTAGATTACAGGAGCATTGATTTTGTACTGTTGTTCCTGTTAAGTTGTTTGCGATTGAAAACGTGTGCCTGTTGCTGATTCTATGTTCAGAAAACCATGCCAGAAACTTATTTGTGATTGATTGCTTGCACTTATATCTTGATTGTTGCTAGAAGTTGTGATGGGATTGTTAAGATAGTAAGATAATCATAAATTCAACAACTGTCTTGATTGGATTCAGCTTAAATAATCATTTCATGATAATATACTTTAGTTTATCTCTATACAACTTAAGAGCTAAACTCTTATTTAATGATGGAGCTTAAGCTGGACAGGCTGAGAAGGCTTCAGAGAACACATTCTCTTGAAGGGGCTGCAATGCTAGCTGCAGCAGCTTTACACATTCATTTCTTGCACGCAAGCTTAGCCGGCTTCAAAGGATTGTTGCCGTTGATGACCTAGTTACACTGTTGACGTCTCAGCTAGGATGAATGGACGATCTAGGTTGCTTACGTACACATACATTCTCGGTACGACGAGCTGTCGTCTTCACGAATTCATATGTATACACACCTAGCTAGGTACTGTACGTCTTTGCCTCGTTGGGATGAATTTGTGCGTGATGGTTCATCCATCTGACTGCAAGCCGAGCAGCAAAGTCCAAGGTCCAAAGGCAAATGTGTCCTTAGCTTGCATCCACAAAAGGCAAGCAACAAATGAACGATGACAACGCGCGTATCCAATGGACACAGGTGATCAGGCAGAGATCGATATCTCATCTCACTGCACCAGAGGTAGAGGTAGAGCTAGAGCTAGAAGAAGCACAGCAATGGAGGCGGTGAAGAAGAAGATGCTGGCCACGCTGGTGGGGTGCAACTACGCCAGCACGGAGAACGAGCTGCAGGGCTGCATCAACGACGTCCACGCCATGCGCGCCGTCCTCCTCGACCCCTTCGGCTTCGCGCCAGGCGACGTCACCGTGCTCACCGACGACCACGAGAGCGGCACCGGCGTGCTCCCGACAGGCTCACAGGCGGCAACGTCAAGCGCGTGCTGGCCGACATGGTGGCACGCGCGGCGCCCGGGGACGTGCTCTTCTTCCACTTCAGCGGCCACGGCACGCTCATCCCGCCCATCAGCGGCCATGGCGGCCGCGACGACGAGGCCATCGTGCCCTGCGACTTCAACCTCATCACAGGTCCGCGTCTACGCACGTCCAAGCACTCCCATGCACGCATGGCTGGCGCGTCGTCGTCGTTTCTCACAGTCACATCTGAGTATCTGATTGACATTCTTGCATGCACGCGCGCGCGCAGACGTGGACTTCCGGGAGCTGGTGGACCGCGTGCCGCGGGGCGCCACCTTCACCATGGTGTCCGAGTCGTGCTACAGCGGCGGCCTCATCGACCAGGAGGAGCAGATCGGCCCCGACGCCGCCGCTGACCCCGACCTCCACGCCCACGCCGTCCACGCCGGCCGTTTCCTCCCGTACGCCGTGGTGCTCGGCCACCTCCTGTCGGGCGTGGGCGCGTCGCACCACGTCGCCGACCACCTCGTGGCGCTATTCGGCGACGACGCCAGCTCCAAGTTCCGCTTCCACCGCCACGACCACCACGGCGGCAACAGCAGCGGCGCCGCGCACGCCGACGACGCCGGGATCCTGCTGAGCAGGTGCCAGAAGGACGAGCTATCGGTGGACGTGCCAGGGGACGGCAGCAAGCAGGCGCACGGGGCGTTCAGCGGAGCGCTGCAGGTCGTACTGGCGGCGCACCCGGCGCCGATGAGCAACCGGGAGCTGGTGCTCGGCGGCAGAGAGGTGCTCGGCAAGCGCAGGGGTTCGAGCAGCACCCCTGCCTCTACTGCAGCGACGCTAATGTCGACGTGTCGTTCCTGGGGCAGCAGGAGACCAAGGCCAAGAGCAACTGAGCAAGGAGGCGGCTGCCATGCCCCGCTTTCATGATTCATCCCTGCGATTTGTGAATGTGCTTATTATTATTTTATTAGTAAATAACTAGCTTGTGACATGTGCGTATATCTATATGCATGCAGCTCGATCTTCATGCTAAACCAAATAAATAACATTTCTTCTTATTGGCCGTGTTTGTTTGAGCTTCGGTGAGAACTGAGAAGCTGAAAGGAAAGGAAAAAAAACTCTGGCAAAAGCTATAAATAAGATCATTTTTAAGAAACTAAACTATATATTTTTTTAAAATGTTTGTTTTTTAAGCAAATATACTCCCAAACTTTTGAACTTGCTTCTCAGAAAAGTTATGTGCATGTCTGCCTGAACGCGTGTCCATTCACCTGTCAGGGTGTCACCGCATCTCTTCCCATTCACGTGCATGCGCTTCCTGATCAGATTATACTGCTGTAAGCATATATGGCCATGCAGCCCGAGCGCATCGGCCGGGCTCAAGGCCCATTTTTTTGGCCCGGCCAAGCGGCGAGCCGGCCCGGGTTGGCACGGCCCCGAGAAGCGGTCCGTGCCTGGGCCTTACCCTAGGCACGTGGGCCGGCACGGCACGGCCCGCTCCTCAAGCGGCGGCCCGGCCTGCCACCGGCCGGCCCTCTCCCCGCGCCCCCATATATAAGAGGGGAGCGTCGGCTGAGCCGCTCCCCGCTCGCCCAGTCGCCCTCGCCCTCTCCGCAGTCCGCTCCCAACTCTAACCCTAATCCCCACTCGCTCGCCGCGGCGCAATCTCTGCTCTCTCTCACCCGCATCGGCGGCCGCATCAATGATATGGTGAATCTGAGCTCTCTCTCGTGATCTCGTCCGTCGTCCCCAACTCCGGTGACCTCGATCCGCCTGTCTGACCCTGTCTCCACTCTCCTCCCTTCTCCCTCTCTCCTCTCGACCTCTCGCTCTCGGTGAACTATGTGAGTTCGTGACCGTGTTCCCGTCCGTCCCTCCTCCGCCGTTCATCGTCGTTTCTAATTGGTGTCTCTCCTCTGGGTGGCCCTCGTCATCTCCGGCACCGGGCTCCGGTTGCGCAGGTAGTCCACGAACCCTAACTGTAACCCTAACCCTAGATCTGTCTTCTTGTGTCTCTGAGACTGAGTGACTGACCTTGGATCTAGATCTCTATCTCTCTGACTCTGTTTTTCTCCTCCATGCAGGTCAATTGCCGAAGCCTCGTCCTCTTCCTATGGCATAGATCGGGCACGACGACCGCGCGCACCGTTGAGGAACGGTGCTGGAGATCAGCTGTCCGCGGTCAAGGTCGCCATGGCGGATGACGACGATGTCGTCTATCTACTCACCGGCAACGATGACCTGATCGCGGCAGGGCTGGTCCCCAAGGAAGACGACGACATCCATGACGACGCTGCTGCGTTGTTGGTTATCGATGTTGGTAGCGGCTCTGCTCCGATCAATCTGGACGGTGGCGACGGTGGTGGAGGGGCGGCGCCGACGCCGTCGGCGACGACGATAGGGACCCCGGTCGGCTCCAACAACACAGATGGTATCTCATCTCTTGGTAAGCGTAAATCTGGTGTCTGGGTTGATTTTGATGAGATCTATGAAACTTTGAATGGTTCAAAGATTCGAACTGTTGCTATCTGTAAAATGTGTAAGAGTAAATTGTCTGCTAGATCTTCTGCTGGCACTGGCCATTTGATTAGGCACCAAAAATTTTGCAGGGAAAAGGCTGATCATGCTGCTATGGTTCAGTTTAGGCTTTCTTTCAATCCTGAAGGATCTGTGCATAACTAGGACTATAATTATGCTGTTGCTCGATTTGAGTTGTGTCGGTTGATTGCTAGGCTTAACTTTCCATTAGGTATATGTGAGACACATGCCTGAGAGGATTACATTGTTCTTGCTCATAACCCTAGGTTTGCTAAGGTTTCTAGACAGACCATCACTAGAGATCTTGGAAAGCTGTTTACTGGACGCCGTGATATGCTTAAGAATTTTATGTTGCCTGCTGTTTTTTCTGTTGCTTTGACTTCAGACATTTGGTCTGGTAATGCTAAGGAGGACTATATTAGTGTTGTTGCTCACTATGTGAATGCTGATTGGGAGTTACAGAAAAGGGTTATTGGTCTTAGGTAGATTGAGGTTAAACATTCTAGTGAAAATATTACTGAAAAAATTACTGCTGTGGTTGAGGAGTATTGTCTGATTGACAAGATTTTCTCTGTCATTCTAGACAATGCTTTTTCTAATGCTAAGGCTATGAATACTTTGACACCTCTATTTGCTGGTTACTTGGGTCCTGATCCTTCACCTGATCCTTTGGATTTTAGTAACCGTAAGTATAGTTTTGTACATCAACGTTGTGCTTGTCATATCATTAATCTTATTGTAAAATTTGGGTTAAAGAGGTTGAAACCTTACACAGAAGATTTTAGAACTGCAATTAACTTCTTAAATTCCTCTAATCAAATAATTGCATTGTTCAAGGAATACTGTAATGCTAAGAGTGTTAGACCTAGAAAGTTTAGCTTGGATATGGATGTTAGATGGAATTCTACTTACCTGATGTTTAAACACTTGCTTTCATACAAGAATGTCTTTTCTATGTTCATTAATTCCCATTATGGTTCACAATTGTTGACTATAAATCATTGGTATTTTGCTGAGAAGTTATTGGAGTTCCTGGAACTCTTCTATGATTTCACTGTTGTTCTGTCTGGTGTTTATTATCCTACAAGTTCACTTGTTCTGCACCATATCCTAGAGATTGCTTCTCATTTGCATGTATGTGAAAAAGATCAAAATCTAAGAGCTATTGTATAATTTATGAAGCTTAAATTCCTTAAATATTGGCAAGACATACATCTGTTATATTCATATGCATTCATTCTTGATCCTAGAGCTAAGATGAGAGATTTTTTAATGTGCTGTAATTACTTGGTGAATACACTGGTTCTGAGTATAGTTCATACTATGCTAATGTCAAAACTGAATTGTATAAACTGTTTAATAAATATGAGAGCAAGTTTAGTGCAGCTAGGTCTCAAAGGGTTACACAACCATCACATCATACAGGTAAGAAAAAGCAGGCATGGGGAAGAATCTTTGGACGTGGATCAGGTGTTGTTGGTCCTTCCCCTCTCCCTGCCACTTCATGTTCATCTACTTCTGCTGTTTGTGAGCTCTCAGCTTACTTAGACAGTGACAATGTCACTTCTTATGAGGATGATTTTGACCTACTTCTATGGTGGCATGACCACAAGCTAACCTTTCCAATCCTGTCTATAATGGCTAGAGATATCATATCAGTTCCTGTATCTACTGTCTCTTCGGAGTCTTGTTTCAGTTTGACAGGCAGGATAATTGAGGAACGGCGGCGGCGCTTGTCACCAAAGACTGTGGAGATGCTGACCTGCATAAAGGACTGGGAGTTAGGAGAAAAAAGGGAACAACACGTTGTTGACAACCAAGAGCTAAAAGACTCATTCTAGAACTTGTACCTTGATGAAGATGAAGCTGCTGCTGGTGCTCCTGGTCCTTAGCGAGGTTAAGACTTGACTCTTGAGAGTGTGAGTGTGATCTGTGACTGTGAAAGAGCGAGTGTGACTGTGAAAGACCTGTCTATCATTTGAACAATGGTTTGTAAGATTTAATTAAGAGCTGACTGCACTCTTTTTTTTCTAGGGTTTCTCATAAGGGTGAGTTTTATCTAGAAAAGTTTTTAATGAGGCAGCATTGCACTAACCAGCTCATTTTGGTTATTTCTGTTATCTGTTGGCTTTGGAATTTGGAGTTTGATATCTCTGTTGGACTGTGAATGTATCGAACATTTGGACTTTGATTCTGTATCTGTATGTTTCTATGAATGAAATGAAAGTATGAAACTGTGAATGTATTGGACATTTCGACATTGATTCTGTTTGATTATGTGAATGCAAGGGTAACGGGCCGTGGGCTGGCACGACCGGTAATTCTGGTCGTGTTTAGCAGGCCGACACGGCACGAAAAACGGCCCATAGTACCGTGCCTGGGCCGAAGGCCAGGCCCGTGGCCCTAAGAGGCACGGCCCGGGAGGCCTGGCGTGCCGTGCCGGCCCGACCCCCATCGGGCCATGCTTTCATGGGCCCGTGCCGGGCCGGGCCGGGCTGGCCCGTTGGCCATCTATAGCTGTAAGCAGATGATGCAGAGGGACATGGTGATTAGCACCGAAATGCACCGGTGTTCAGGTCTCTCTGATTCAGTCTTATGGGGGTACAGGGGTTCAACCGTTGAAGCATGCAGTATTCTTTTCTTTTTGGAAAACCACATGCACACATAGTTTGTTGAGGTCCATTCACATGCGTGTTCATTTCTGTGATCTACTCTATCTGAAAAGAAGGGGCCAGCTCAGCGTCCGGGTGGTGTAGTTGGTTATCACGTTAGTCACACACACTAAAGGTCCCTAGTTCGAACCTGGGCTCAGACAATTCTTTTTGTATTTTTTTGTATTTTTTTTCTGCTGGAAGAGCTAACATAGCTAATCACAATTTATTTATTTCTTCTGCTGGAAGAGCTAACTTCATTTTCTTTGTGTCTTTTTTAATTTTTTTCTTAACTAATCACAATTTATTTCTTTCTTCTGCTGGAAGAGCTAACTTCATTTTTTTTTGTGTTCTTAAAATTGTTTTCTTGCTAGAAGAGCTAACTTCACTAATCACAATGTACCTTTTTTTGTTCTGCTGGGAGAGCTAACATAGCTAATCACAATTTTTTTTTCTTCTGTAGAAGTGCTAACATAACTAATCAGTAATCACAATGTATTTTTTCTTCGGCTGGAAGAGCTAACATAACTAATCACAATGTATTTTTTTTTCTAGAATGTATAACTACTCTGGCATTTTTTTTTTGTATTTTTTCTTCTTCAATGACTCCAAACGTTGGGTTGGCATGAACACCCCTTGAGACGCCACAGGTCACATGCTTTTCAACTGATCCACCATAGTCACTGTGGGTAATTGAAAAAAGTCAAATTTTGGCACAACAGGTGGCTCCAAGGAAAG